CGAAGACATATTGCAAATGCCCAGGTTCCAGGTTACTATGGAAATATAGCCTGGCAAAGTAGCAACCCATCCCATCATTTAATTTGCAGGCTGTGTGTTGACACTCAGAGATGGTGGGTGGACCTTGGTGTCTGTGATCCCTTTTGCAGAGAGGGCCTTAGAGAAGAGTCAAAGCAAAGCGGCAGCTGGGCAGTCAGTCTAGGTGAAGGTTCTGCACATGTGCACTCCTGTTTCTAGAAGTTCACAGGGCTGTTTCTAAGTGCCGGCTTTATCAGCCGCTTCTGCTGGGTGACACCCTCCAACTGAGTCTTTGTTGTGACCTGATCTCAGTGCTCAAATACAGCACAGAGTCATCCAGTGCCAGCAATTGTCACATCTTTTATAAAGCAAGTGTTGATTCAACCCAGCCAGGAAGAGCCACCAAGAGTAAAAGGTCTCCAGAGATGGGATTGGGCCATTTAAGTTATTTACATTAACGCTTGGCATGGAACATGAGCCAGAGGCGCTGTGTGCTGTAAAAGAGAAGTTCTTTGATTTATTCATGTCCTTGCATATGAATGCTCTCACCTCTTCTTCTCTTCCTCTTCTCTCTTCCTCCTCATCTTCCTGTCCTCTCCATCTCTCTCTCATAGATATACTGACACATATCTACATCCTTAGTCTATTTCCAGGGAGCCCAGTTTATCTTTTAACAGCACATGGAAATCTTTTCTCCAGTTGTCGTTGAGACACTGTAGGAAAGTAAGATCTGTCCTTTCTCATTTCTCTGTGATGCTAGAATAAAGATCATCTCCTGGGCTCAAGTACTGGGACCTGAGGTAAAGGGTGTCAATGTGTGTTGATGCACCCGTGGGTCAGAATGGCTATTAAGGACTCATATTTGGGAGACATCATGAACACCAGTCTGTGGGGCAGTCTTTCCAAATCTTCCTTAGATCAGATCAACCGTGAACACTCAAGCTGAGGATGGTGTTGAACTCTTGATCCTCATCTGTGGTGGTCTGAAAGAAAATGGCCCCCAAAGGGCATAGCATTATTAGGAGGTCTGGCCTTGTGGCCTTGTGGAGTAGATGTGACCTTGTTGGAGGAAGTGTGATACTAGGAAGTGGGGCTTTGAGCTATCATATATGCTCAAGGCACTCCCAGTGAGACAGTTCACTTCCTGTTGCCTGCCTATCAGGATGTAGGACTCTCAACTCCTGCACCATGTCTGCCTGCATGCCGCCATGTCATACCACAATGGTAATGAACTAAACCTCTGAAACTGTAAGCTAGCCCAGTAAATGTTTTCTTTATAGGTGTTGCCGTGGTCATCATGTCTCTTCACAGCACTAGAAACCCTGACTAAGACACCCTCTCTCCACCTCCTCCATCCTGGGATTACAAGTGTGTACTGTCATACCTAGTGGGAGCCAAAGCCTTAAGCACTAACTAAAGCTTTGTGATCCCTTTTGTGGGTGACAACTCAAACTCTAGATGGCAGAAGTTTAGATAATGGGGAATTCGTGGAAACACCCATTAGTGTCTGATGTCAAAGCATATTACACATTCACATCAATTAAGTTTTAAAATTCCTGTTGAGGCCCATGCTGGTTTTCAGTTTATTTTTTGAGAGTGATTTTCCCCCCACCTTTGCTAGCATATTCATAAGGCAAGAGAATTAGCATGGAATATTTGTAACAGTTTTATACTCAAGTGATTTATTCTCTGCACCAGTGTTCTCTCCATCCAAAACACTTGAAATTCCTTTCCTTGTTTTTATTCACTTGCAGACTGAACCCCCAAAGCCATTTTGTACAGCTCGCTCTTGTTCCGTCCGTCCGTCTTCAATGGGTTCAGTGACATTTCCTGTGTGACACACACGTTCATTCCCTGGCTCTTCCCTGTGTTCCTGTCTTCCCTCCTTTTCCATTGTGAGGCTCCATGGGACATGTGTGGGGAGGGTGGGGCTCATCAGAGGAGTAGATAAGTTCACATACCCCATGTTGAGTCTGAAAAAGACATCACAGGGTTGGCAGAACAGCTCTGTGGGTAAAAGCGCTTTTTACCCAGGCCTGAGGACTTGAATTCAGTCCCTGGAACAGACATTAAGGTGAAGGAGAGAACTAAAGTCACAAAATGTCCTTTGACCTCCTCAGATGGGTGCACACACCCATCATACACACAGTAATAATAATAATAATAATAATAATAATAATAATAATAATAATAACAGTGACATCAGCTATATATATCAAATTGTTCACACCTGAAATTATAAGCCTGAGGATTCCCACAGTTTACTCTGGATGTATAATGACTATATTATAGAGCCTGTTCAGTCAACATTGGTTGCAAAGGAAACTTTGGCTTGCTCTTTCCACTGTCTTCTGACGTGTGTGTGCAGTATCTTTTACTGTCTGCTCTGGTCCCACTCTTTGCTTCCACCTCACAGCTGGAGCCTCCTTTTGGAATTAGCCTTTACCCAGGGGAGTCTTATGGTAAGGCTTGTGGTGTAGAATAGTTTCCTGTCCTGCACGAAACGCCTGGGCGCTTTATGTGAAGCCGCTAAGGGAATGTGGCTAGAAGGGGGGCATTTGCTCCTGTAGGCACCTTGCACAGGCGACTATTTTTCTTATATGATATAAATGAAATCTTCACTCTGCCCACTTTTCCGCCTACACATGTACTGAACGTCTCCAAGGAGACAAGGAAACCCAGAGTCCAGCGATGGTGAATCCTCTCCCGAGACAGCAGGCTGGAGTCTCAGGCAACTCTCCCAGGCATCTTACCTTCCAGATGCCCCTCTGAGACAGCCTCTCTTTCAAGCAGGCAATGCATCTCCTTTCTAGGCAACAGAGCAGGGATCTTGGGGGTGAGTGGAGCAGAAGGCAGGCAGCCTGGGGGAAGAGGGGGGGATGTCGTTGGGTGGCGGCATAGGCAGGCTCCACTAAGCTCTTTCCAATGTCTCCTGCTGATTAGTGCTTCTGTTTGTGTCCCTCTGGACCTCTTAGCCACAGACATACTACTCAGTCGTAAGAAGTGTCCTAAAAGTTCTTGTTACAGTATTGCCTTAGAGAGCTCTGTTGAGTGAGCTTGTCTAAGAAGAAAGTCCAGCTTTGTACACCCATCTTTTATAGATGTCTGCCCAGTTGCAGGAATCCCCCCACTTTTCTCATCTCCCTGTTTGCATGAGTCTAGAACATGGGAGCCCTAGCCCTCTGACCCGTCCTGGCCACAGCATTGGCACTGTGTTCGCAGACCTGTCTACTTCACTGTCCAAGTGACCTTGCTGAGCTTCTCCGGGGAAGCCAGTACCCTGGCATTCCTTTATGGTCACTTTGCAAGCCCACATTATCAGATTTTGTTTGGGGCATTGATCACATCTCTGTGTACCTCTTCCTTGAGACACAAATAATATAAGTTGCTGCATTAAAAAACATATATTTGGAGGAAATTAAAAAGATGTTTCAGTGGTTAAGAGCAGTATCTGCAATTTCAGGGAACCCTAAGATCCATTCCCAGTACCTACCTCATGCAGCTCACAGTCTCCTGTAACTCCAGCTCCAAGGGATCGCACACCCTCTCTGGCCTCTAGGTACCTTTTCATACATACTGCACACGCATTTGCATACACACACACACTAATTTAAATTAATATTTAGAAATTATTTTTATATGATATGCAGTAGGTGTGTGTGTGTGTGTGTGTGAGATTATTTTGTAAGCATCCTTTCTGACTCTTCATATGTGTGCTCTTGGTTCTCATTTGAGTGGACCCAAGCAATCTGACTTTTCATGTGATTTTCTGGTGTAGTCCCCGTACACCTCAGTTTCCTATGTCTGATCCTGCTCTCATTTGCACAAAGGCGTGGTGGCCCGCTCTTAATTTTGACAGTGAATATCTTCATATCCATGTTTCTAATACTTCTTTCTTCACTTGAACTAAAAAAAGGGCTACCCAGTCATATGTTCAACCTTTGGAAGTCTCCTCGGTTTCCTCTGTCTTATTACTAATTCACACCACTTCAATAACTGCTGCCTTGAAAGAAAACCTTCCCGTTTTCAAAGCTTGAAAGAGTCTTTTAGACTAACTAGTTTGTTTCCTGGTCCATCATGAAAAGTTTAAGTTGACCCCAGGTCACCTCTGTTAAGCTTTCCTTTTATTTTATACTCTGCCTGTCGGTCTACATAGGGCATCTGAGGCTGGACTAAACCTCTGAGGATGACCTTGAACTTCTGAGATATTTTGGAGATACCGTAGCCAAAAGTTTGCATGTTGGGAAGAAGAACATCTACACATAATCAGTGTGCTAGGAACACACACGCACACACACACACACACACACACTCACTCAGCTGAGGATGACCTCTGTTTCTGACCCTCCTGCTTCTATCTCCTAAGTGCTAGGATTACAGTGTGTGCTATTATGCCCAGTTCATGTGGTACTAGAAATTGAACCCAGGGCTAGTGAGATCATTTCAGATATACTTTTAACTGTTCTAAGCTTTCTATGGAAATTGTTCTTGTGGTGTCTCATTTTCCTGTGATCCACTGCCCTGATCTTTCTCTTTATTTGGGTGCAGGTGAGATTAAAATATATAAAACTTGAGTTCCCAAGTTTCCCCAAGAAACATTCAGTAAGATACGGAATCTCCAGTAAGAGCCCTTCCATGTCTCCTGAGCCTTACCTTTTCCTCATCCCCCAGACCCCACTCTGATATCTGTCCACACCAGCCATTCATACTTACAGGTGTCATGGCAGCTATTTAGTGGGAATGAAATATCTACTTACATAAGATGCTGTGTCAAAGGAGTCATGGGTCATTTTATCCAATCAAAGGAAATGGAGGCGCATTCTGGGACATTTTCTATGTAGACTGGCCAGAAGATTCATTGGCCATTTCCCTTGCCTGGAAATGAGCAAGTGAGGAGCAGCCCTGAAGGGTTTTTCTGGTGATCCTCTTTGTGAGGGCATCCCCAGACATGTGATAACAAAGCCTTGCCCTTTTTCTTGCAGGCCCTGCAGGTGGCAAGGCAGCTCCTCCTTCAGCAGCAGCAGCAGCAGCAGCAGCAACAGCAGCAGCAGCAACAACAACAGCAGCAGCAGCAACAACAGCAGCAGCAGCAACAGCAGCAGCAGCAACAGCAGCAGCAGCAAGTTAGTGGACTAAAGTCTCCCAAGAGGAATGATAAGCAACCAGCTCTTCAGGTAGTGATGCTTTTTTCAAAACATTCCTGTTGTGCCCTTTGCCATGGCTGAGAAGCTATGCAGAGGCGGATTAGCGAAACCATTGCAAACTATCTGAGGAAACCTTGTGCAAAATATGTTTTTAGTTTATGAGCTGAATTATGACATCATAAGAAAAATATCTATTTGGCCTAAAGTTTTGGGGGTGTTTTTGGGGCAGGTGTTATGCCAAATTTTTAATGTTGGGAGGAATTCAACTCACAATTCAACATGCTAGGGGCCTCATGCATGTATAAAGTAGCACTGATCATATCCATCCATCCAACCTCACTAATCCCCCTTTCCAGGCGCATGTAACAATTTTCCTACCTTCAGGTTAACTTCTTTCTAGTTTCCACAAATGGGAGCAAGCAGACCCTACTTACTTCTCCGAGTCTAGCTAGTTCCATTACTGATACTTCCTCCATCTCCAACCATTTTGCTGCAAACGACAGGGAGCCGTTCTTTGTGGATGCAATGACTCCGTCATTGTTAATCCACTTCTCTGGTGATAGGCACATAGGGCAGCTCCACTTCTTAGGTATCATGAGTGTGTGAATATCTTGTCAGTATGCCAATATATTATTTATTTTCTGGTGCTTTGGTAAAGCACCATGACCAAGGCAACTTCAGGATGACTAAGTTTATTTGGGCTTACCATTCCAGAGGGGTAAGAGTCCATCGTGGCTGGGGGCATGGTGGCAAGTGTCAGACTTGGCAGCAGGAAGCTGAGAGCCCACGTCTTCAGCCCTGAGCATGAAGCAAAGAGAGTGTGACTGGAATGGCACGAGGCTTTGAATCTCCCAGCCAGGCCCCAGGGACACAATTCCTCCAGCAAGACTGAACCACATAAACCTCCACAAACAGCGCCACCAACTGGGGAGCAAGGGCTCAAATGCCTGAGACTGTGGGGGACATTCCACATTTAGACCACCACAACTGACTTCATTTCCCGTGGCTTACACCCAGGGGAGTGGCCTAGCTAAATCATGTGATGGTTCTGGTTTTAGTTCTATTGTGGATCCTCATACTATTTGAGGACCCTTCAGCATACTTTTCATAGTGGCTAGATTAATTGACTTCCCCACTGACAACGTACAAAGTTCCTTATTCTGGAGACGTATTTGCTATTCATAACTAGGGGACAAGGGTGCAGAGATATTCCTGACGTCTCATCGGTTTTGGACCAAGGATGCTGTTCATCATTCCCCACTGTCCAATGCACCCTCCACAAAGGAGAGCTACTTAGCAGCTCCAGATGTCTGCAGTGTCAAGAGCTTCTAGTTGGCCCCAGGAGGATGTAGTGCTTCTGATAGTGTACCTGGTAATGAGTATAATAGAACACATGCCCTCCTTCAGTAGATGTTTGCAGAATGTTTCTGAATCATTAATTGAAAACGGGGAACAATTTTTATGAAATGATAACAAAAGAAGATTGTTTCAACCACTTCTCATTTCTGGCTCACTGAGGCCAAGGGGTTAATAGAGTAGAAAGAGGCGTGAGCTCATAAAATGGAATTTGGATTTGGGTCTTGGAGTAGAAAATTGCAGTAGAAATTTCAAAGAAATTTGAGTCAGGTATTTATGCCCACATTCAAAGTAGAAGATAGGCATTGGGTGCCCCCCCCCCCCCAATGGAGGCTAAGGATGGGTTTCTCACTGGAAATTTTGCAACAGTTTGTGATGAGCAGTGACACAATGTGTTGCTGGTCAGTGTGGGATCTACATGTGTTGACTTCTCCATGGATTAGGATAAATTGATGCCGACTTCCAAAGTGTCCTGCACAGATTGTCCTGTCCTTGGTACACCAATTCTGGTTCTCCTGCTGTGTCAGGGAAACTGTCCCTCTTCCAAAAAACTCTAACCTTACAGTGACAGGTTATTGGACAAATTGAACACCCGCGTGAACTGTTGACAAACTCTTCCAAAGACAGCTGTTTGGTAAACTACCAGCAACTCACACCCTCTTACCCGCCGTGTGGGCACGGGTGCGGGAGCCAGTTATAATGAGGTGCCGTGCCGTGGAGGGTGGATGTCAGGTGTTGTAAGAAGGGCTTTGTTGTGCAGATGTCTTAAGAACAGCTCAGGAGGATGAAATATGACTGTGTTGACCTTTCAGCTGTGAGCTTATTTGTCAGGATTCAAATAAGTTGAAAGGATCAAACTGAACAGTTTCCGTAGTCAGTCTGGGAATTGTGTTTCAGGGGTCAGCAGAGGAGGCCACATTGCAGATTCCATAACATAGCCAATTGTTGGTACATATTAAAGTACCAGGGCATCTCCTGCAGACAGAGACGCAATTAAAATTCTAATTTATTAATGTATACAGGGAGCTGGCCCAGCCTGTCACTCAGTGATTCAAATGCCTGTCCATTCTTTGGCCTCCTTCTTGGAGCCTCTCACAGCCTTGAAAATACTAGGAGTCCTGTTGAATTTATCAGGCCTCAAAGTGCATTGGGAAGATGGCAATATAGTATTGGGAAGGTGGTATCCATAGTGCAGCTTTGGTATTAAGTTTTTAAAAATATACAAAGACACTGTCCAGTCATAGTGCTGTAGAGTTGAATACCGTTTATGATTAAAAATAAACTGGACTTGTTTTCCCTTGTACGTATGCGTGTGTGTGTCTTGCATACTGAGTGTGTTACTCTGTCAAGCTCCACAATTGTTTGTTTGTTTGTTTGTTTGTTTGTTTGTTTTTGAGATACTTCACAGCCTTAGATGGCTTAGAACTTGCTAGGTAGACCAGGTTGGTCTCAAACTCACAGACATCAGCTGGCCTCAGCAGTAAAGGGTGACATCACCAGCATTCTGCCTTACCTTCTGAGCCACAATCTCTCACTGAATTTGAATCCCCTGATTCAGTTAGGTGGCTTGCCATTGAGCTCCAGGGATCTGCCTGTTTCCTCCTCCTCAGACTTGGATTACATTTGCAAATCTCTGTGCCTCATTGTCACATGGGTGCTGGGGTCTGAACTCAGCTGCTCTGCTGGAAGCCCTTTCCCAGTGACCTGTCTCTCCAGCCCCCAGTACTTGCATTTTTAAAACATGGCATTTAGGGTAATCAGTAGAGGTTACTTAGGACTAGATATGTGAAGTAAAGTTTCAGGGGATTTCGTTTTGAGGATTCTATTTCTTCTTGACCATTAAGGATTTTGGCAACCAAGCCAAAGAGTCTGACAAGTAACATGCCCTGGATCATGACTGGGGCAATGGGACAGCCACTATGATGTGCTCTACACTTCAGTCTATACAGAAAAGATGGAAGGAGAATGCCTCTCATGAAGGCCGGTCTGCTAAGATCCTGCTGAGTTTCTTAGCCATTGGGATAGAACTGACAAGCAGAGAATTTACATTGATTTTTGAGGGCTGTTGTGCATGTGCGGGTATGTGTGTCTGCATGCATGTGTGTGAATGTGTGTGCTGTCTTTGTGTCCTGACCAGGGTCACTGGAATCCAGTAGTAAGCCTTATTAGTTTAGCTGGCTTTCTACTGACAGGAGAAATTACTAATGTCAGTTACATGGTCTATCACCTTGTTATAAAAAGATGTATGTAGACTTGGAAGGAATAACCTTGACATTGAAGTCTATCTCGGCATGCCTTGTCCTTACTGGGCGTCTCGCCTAGAGTAGGTCTGCAAGAAAAAGGACATCTCCTGCTACTCTGCAGTGTCCCTCTCTGGTTTCCTTACCCTGTATAGCTCTACGCAGAGACCCATGTTGGCAGATTCCAGATCTGCATAGAGGAAGCCTTGATGGGGAAGGAGGATTTGATCTGCTGAGAACTTGAGATGGGGGTGGAAGGGGGAAAGAATCCTCAAGTCAGTCCCCAAAGATGCTGTGGCTCGTATTTTAAGCATATCTCACGGGTCTCCACTTCATGTTTGGCGGCACACTTCAGTTGCACGGGCTGATGAGACAAACAAAAGAAAAGGGAAAGTGAGAGGAGGTTACAAGTGATTCCTCGATAGAAGTAGAGATGATGAACCCAAGTGAGACAGCACCAGAGCGGACTAATTTCAACAGCAGAGAGACACATGCAGCAGATGCATGCTAAACTACGCCCGGTGCTCGAGTTCTCGGGACGCAGCCTGGTTAATTGGTGGAGAAGAAGGCGCGAGCCAGGTGGATAGGCCACTTTTGGGGTTCTCGACCAGTATTCCACTCATCATCTTACATTGTCTTTTTTGCTTACACTGTTAATTTGCTTTGCAGATTTCTTTTATGAATGATAGAAATGGAAATTGAAAATTGGCTCCATCTTAAATTCACAATCAGAATGATCTGAATTCAGTAAATTCATTCTGGTGAACGTCCTCAGAAGAGCCTCAGTGTGCTGGGTGCTGGGTGCTGGGTGCTGGGCAGGTGCTCACAGGACCCTAAACTGTTGACACAGACCTTTGCCTGCAGGACGCTCTGCAGCTATAAATGAATTAATTTGATTTTGCTCAAAAAATATTAGAGGTAGGTAAAAATAGTAGGCTGCCTTTTATAAATATTTATCTACTTCTGAAGATTGCTTCAACAAGTGGAAGAAAGGCCTAGCAGTGCAGGTGTGTCCATAACCTCCAAAGCGAGAGGCTCTGCTGGCCAGCCATTAGTTTGCAGTAGATGAGCAATTTTCATTGATCAAATTTGGGAACTTTGACTGCTGTTTCTGGGAGGTAATTCCTTTTGGTTCTTTAAGCATTTTACTTGTTGGCTGGAACACGTCCACTGGAAGGAAGTCAAGGGACACAGTTTCTCCTCAGAAACTAAGTGTCCACGCAGGTTCTGCAGTATGTGAGTCGGGACAGAAGGCGAGCCTTGTGTTTGGCTTTCAGTGGGAAGCTGACCGCTGCTCTGGGCGGGCTGTAAAGACTGTGAACTTGAAGCCAGGCATCTGATCAGTTTCCCTCCCCTGTGTGTCCCTTTTCCCTCCAAGGTTATGTGCTGTGCAAGCCCCTGACCCAAAAGCCCCCCCCCTGCTTTTTTTTCTTT